TCCATCACTCGGGTTGGTCCTCTCTTATTCTTCAAGATTTTTACAAAAATATATATCGTTGTCTTTCCAAAAAAAATAATTTTTCTTATTTTTACTTTACTGTCATTTGTTTTCTTATCTTTTTTAGAATTTGATCAATTTATTACTTGAGAATGTCTGAAGTAATTATATAATTATATTAAGTGAGCATTATTATAATATATAGTAATACACATGTGTGTCTGAGGACCTCCCTCCGTGTTACAGAGGCGACAGACAAAGTTGTGGGCGTGGCGGCTAGTGCTGCTGGTGTTGTCCGCTCTCTATGCCGCCTACTTCATCGCTGTCCTCACTATACCCACCAAAATACAGGTCAGTGTCCAACACCTCGGTTTCTGGAGTAATGTTCTCTAATACGGGACCCAGGTATCAACACACACACATGTAAGAACTTTGCGCTCTTAAAACATCAACGCATCATTTTATACATTTTATTTTTTCATCTCCAAAAAATAGTTTTCGTATTATTAATTTGAAAATCAATATATAATTGGTATCTGATTATTTTGTATTTACAAGAACATGAATACAGTCAATTCAAAGACAGTTAAAATTCAAGCACTAAAATTATATGGAATTATATATTTTTTGTATTTATTATATTTACAAAAACAATTTTTATAGATAGGAATAACTATATAAAATAACAAAAATCAACAGAAAATAATTGCTGGTCATTGTATATTTGTCTTGAGCAAACAAACCACTAAACCTGTGTTGTATAACAATAGTGTTTATAACATACTAGGGGGGGGGGAGGGAGGGGGCGTTGCTCGGGTCTGTCTGTCTTTCATCTGTTAATCTTTGTCTATCCATCTATTGTATCCATCTATCTATCCATCTATTGTCTCCATGTATCTATCCATCTATGTATTCTTCCGTCTATTTATCTACCATGTATCTATCCGTCAATCTATCTATCTGTCTGTCCATCAATCAATCCGTCTATCTATCTCTATTTCTACCAATACAATAAGTCCACCCTTCCCTCCCTTGTCCCATCCCCACATTCTCCACCTTCCATCCCCTCTTCTTCTCTCTTCTCTTATAAAATATATTATTAAGAAACACAAACAACGGTTTGTCTAAGAATGAGAATGGCTCCTCTATTATTACAGTATATTAAAAACTCCATGTTAATCCCACGCCACATTTCACACTTTTTGACCCCTATTAAAAGTGGCGTTAGGGTCTTTATTATTGCTAATATTTATTTAAGCATTTTACATAGGGCCTACTCCGACCAGCTTAATTATGGCCTTAAAGTATCCCCTGCAAGTTTCAGCGGGGCGAGCCACAGACAAGTTCAAGTATGTTTATTGAGACAAGAAAAGTTACATCTCAAAGGGATAGAATAGCTTAGGCTATTTCTACCTCCCATGAGCCCCAGATATCTATCCTCCAACTTTGGACAGAGAGATAGATAAGAATTCTCTCTTATAGTTATAGATATAGAAGGAAAGTGTGAAGTTTTGACAAAGGATATAAGAATACTTAATTCTTTAACGAGAAAGACTATACCGTGATTGTCTAACGAGGAAGACATTGTGCAGTAGTTGTCTGTAATGAGAAAGATATTGTGCAGTTGTCTGTTACGAGGAAGACATTATTGCTGTTATTAAGGAGCGAGACGATCGTAGGATCAGATACACCCCAACAACCCGACTTCGGGAAATTTCGAAATGGGATGGGATCCCCTACAGCCTCTTGTGTCTCCAGACATAGCCGAGTAATCGAAAAGTAGGACGAAACATCTCATATTTGGTGTCGTCATCCCTCGCTCCAGCCCCATCTAGGAAAACGGGAACAGTAAAGTGGGAAATTTGTAATCGACGAATGGCGTACTAAAGCCTCAGACACGTGCCGTAACTCCAGGACAGTAAAGGTGCTCCACAGTATCCTCCTGGGTCGGCCACCACAAGCAGTAGGGAGATTGAAGCAGGCGGAGTCAGCAGAGGTGCGCAGCCAGGCAAGAATGCCGGATCCGGAGGCAGGTAAGGGCTGTGTCCAAGAGTCTGGTGCGATTCCGGGCCCACGGACGCAGGGAGGACGCGGACCCACGGACCCACGGCCCTAAGGCTCGCCAGGGACGATACGGGAAGGGCTGGTACCAACTCCGCCGTCCAGCACCCTCGGCCGCCCGGAGCTGCAGGAGAATTTCCGAAAGATCTAGAGGCAAAGGTGTGATGTGTCTGTGCCCGTGAGTCATTCTCGCCGCCCCTGCACCACCACCTTCCCGGAAGACATTATAGCATAGTTGTTTGTAATGAGGAAGACATTATACCGTGATTGTTTGTAATGAGGAAGATATTATACCGTGATTGTTTGTAATGAGGAAGACATTATACCGTGATTGTTTGTAACGAATATATACCGTGATTGTTTTCAATGAGGAAGACATTATACCATGGTTCTTTGTAAGGAGGAAGTATTAGTCCCCATGGTGCAGTGGTAAGGTACTCGCCCGGTGCTTCGCGAGCTTTTTGGCCTGGGTTCGTATCCTGGCCGGGAAGGATTGACTGGGCGCCAGTCCTTAACTGTAGCCTCTGTTCACCCAGCAGTGTATGGGTACCTGGTTGTTAAACGATTTGACGGGTCGTATTCAGGTAAAATTAGGATTAAGGACTTGCCGGAAACTTTATGCGTGCTGGTGGGTGTAGAAGAGTATAAGAACTCTTGTATACATAAATAACCATTAGGTGCATGTGTGTGTACTCACCTAGTTGTGTTTGCGGGGGTTGAACTCTGGCTCTTTGGTCTCGCCTCTCAACCGTCAATCAACAGGTGTACAGGTTCCTGAGCCTATTGGGCTCTATCATATCAACACTTGAAACTGTGTATGGAGTCAGCCTCCACCACATCACTTCCGAATGCATTCCACTTGTCAACCACTCTGACACTAACAAAGTTCTTGTGTGTTGCAGGAGGAGAGTTACTGGTGTCGGGGGGACGGGTTCCTCATCCTCATCACTGTCATCGGTGTCATCGGTCTCCTCTACTTCAAGGTCTGCTTTCCATCTCTCTAGTCATGCCTCTCTACATATATACTGTATATACACAAATACACATTTGATATACATATGTATATATTTTATACATATGCAGAATCTACTGCATATGAAAAACAAATTATATATGAGCGCTTTCGAACACTTTTCGATGCCAGAAACTGACTCATTCTTTGACGAGCAACACGAGAGTAGCAGCGGGAAGCGCTCACATATACTTTTATATTTTTCAAATGTGGTACATTCTGCATTTTATGCCATCGGTGTTCCCAATCTTTTGTTCAATATATATATATATATATATATATATATATATATATATATATATATATATATATATATATATATATATATATATATATATATATGTCGTACCTAGTAGCCAGAACGCACTTCTATGCCTACTATGCAAGGCCCGATTTGCCTAATAAGCCAAGTTTTCATGAATTAATATATTTCCTCTAATTTTTTTCTTGTGAAATGATAAAGCTACCCATTTCATTCCGTATGAGGTCAATTTTTGTTATTGGAGTTAAAATTAACGTAGATATATGACCGAACCTAACCAACCCTACCTAACCTAACCTAACCTATCTTTATAGGTTAGGTTAGGTTAGGTAGCCGAAAAAGTTCGGTTAGGTTAGGTTAGGTAGGTTAGATAGTCGAAAAACAATTAATTCATGAAAACTTGGCTTATTAGGCAAATCGGGCCTTGCATAGTAGGCATAGAAGTGCGTTCTGGCTACTAGGTACGACATATATATATATATATATATATATATATATATATATATATATATATATATATATATATATATATATATATATATACCTTGTGGGTTTTGGTTGAGGTAAGTGTATGTGGTGTTACAGGTGGTGAAGCCGTTGTGGGGACGTGTGCTGTTCGACAAAGTCATCACGCCGCTGGAGGGTGTGTGCAGCAAGCTGTGGCGGAACAAGTAAGTCAACAAGGATGAGGGGAAAGTGAAGGGTAGAGAGAGGGGAGTATAGGGAGGAGGAGGAGACAACAGCAGACCTCTGTGGTAATAGGAAGACGGCGCCGATGCTTGAAACTTTCCGGTGAGAATATTTATGATGTTACCTGCTGACATGTGTCTTACACATCTAGGAATTAATATTTTTATATCATTAAATTATGATTTATATATAATGTGTGTATATCACGAAAATAAACACGTGATTAAAAATGTGACAGTGTCAGACCACGGAGGAAAATTGAAACAGGAATTTCCTTAAGTACTTTCGTATATTAATACATCTTCAGAAGGATTCTCTGTGCCCGTGAGTCATTTATATATAATGTATTATATATATAATACATATCATTAAACACATCAGCATGTTAACTAGTTTTCATTTTCTTTTGGATATTTTCCATTCTACGCAAATATCTTCTACCGTCCGAAGGCTGAAGAAACACTACATCACTTAATCTTTCCATTTTTATTGTTCAACGTTACGTCAGCACCGTGACGTCTTCAGGAGTACACTGTGTTAAGTTGACACACCTATACTGAACTGACAAGGTTTGTTTGTTGTCTTACAAACTGCCTCTTACAAGGTTGTTGTTGTTGTTTTAGATTGAGCTTCTCTGAACAAAAGTTCCAAGTAGCACGTGCTATGGAGAGCCCGTAGTGGACTTACCCGGCGCAGCAAGCGCAAGCTCTCAGCCTGCATCGCATTGTAACTCCATTTTCATGCGCGATAACTACATTACAATTCAGCGCAAGAGGTTCCGTCCAATACTACCTTGGTGTGCCGTCTTTATCAACCTTTCGTGTGGATCATTATCAAAAACCCTACTTAAGTCTAGGTGTATTATAAGAACGTGTCTTTACAGGTGGGTGAGATGGGGAGTGTACGTGGGGCTGGTGGGCTCCGTGGTCACCTTCCTGGTGGTGGACTCGAGGGATGCCCCGCGCCGTCTTGTCTCTCTCTTCGGTATCTTCGTCCTCCTGCTCTTCGGCTTCGTGTTCTCGGTGGCTCCTCGCAAGGTGAGCTTTTTCTTCACGTACAATCATCTACTTGCATGACAAATGCATAAGAACAGAGATGAATAATATGTACAAGGCGTTTACAGTTTGAAGCTGCTAATTACCTAGACAGAATGCGAGGAAGATGGGTGAGTAATGGCGCCGTGGGCTGCAAAGTTTGAGGGCGTTGTTGACTGTACTCACCTAGTTGTACTCACCTAGTTGTGTTTGCGGGGGTTGAGCTCTGGCTCTTTGGTCCCGCCTCTCAACCGTCAATCAACAGGTGTACAGATTCCTGAGCCTATCGGGCTCTGTCATATCTACACTTGAAACTGTGTATGGAGTGAGCCTCCACCACATCACCCCCTAATGCATTCCATTTGTCAACCACTCTGACACTAAAAAAGTTCTTTCTAATATCTCTGTGGCTCATTTGGGCACTCAGTTTCCACCTGTGTCCCCTTGTGCGTGTTCCCCTTGTGTTAAATAGACTGTCTTTATCTACCCTATCAATCCCCTTCAGAATCTTGAATGTGGTGATCATGTCCCCCCTAACTCTTCTGTCTTCCAGCGAAGTGAGGTTTAATTCCCGTAGTCTCTCCTCGTAGCTCATACCTCTCAGCTCGGGTACTAGTCTGGTGGCAAACCTTTGAACCTTTTCCAGTTTAGTCTTATCCTTGACTAGATATGGACTCCATGCTGGGGCTGCATACTCCAGGATTGGCCTGACATATGTGGTATACAAAGTTCTGAATGATTCTTTACACAAGTTTCTGAATGCCGTTCGTATGTTGGCCAGCCTGGCATATGCCGCTGATGTTATCCGCTTGATATGTGCTGCAGGAGACAGGTCTGGCGTGATATCAACCCCCAAGTCTTTTTCCTTCTCTGACTCCTGAAGAATTTCCTCTCCCAGATGATACCTTGTATCTGGCCTCCTGCTCCCTACACCTATCTTCATTACATTACATTTGGTTGGGTTAAACTCTAACAACCATTTGTTCGACCATTCCTTCAGCTTGTCTAGGTCTTCTTGAAGCCTCAAACAGTCCTCTTCTGTTTTAATCCTTCTCATAATTTTAGCATCGTCCGCAAACATTGAGAGAAATGAATCGATACCCTCCGGGAGATCATTTACATATATCAGAAACAAGATAGGACCGAGTACAGAGCCCTGAGGGACTCCACTGGTGACTTCACGCCAATCGGAGGTCTCACCCCTCACCGTAACTCTCTGCTTCCTATTGCTTAGATACTCCCTTATCCACTGGAGCACCTTACCAGCTACACCTGCCTGTCTCTCCAGCTTATGTACCAGCCTCTTATGCGGTACTGTGTGGAGGTGTGTGTGTTCTCACAAAGATGGACGGCAGTGTTCCTTGCTGGACTGGTGACTCGCGTCTGGCGTGGTATTTGTTAGTCTATTGCTAACGTGAGACGCTTAATCCCTCACCGGGTTCACACTTGCCCATATGTCTCAGTGCTCTGTGAGACTTTACCTCACTAAATTACTTCATACAATTCACATTGCAGTTAAGGATATTATACAAAATATTAGAGACTATTAGAGACCAATATTAGAGAGCTTAGCGAGACAAACAAGTTGTTGCACGAATCAGTGTTGCTAGAAATGTACTTCATGTTTTTCAAGTTTCCAAAGCTTATTCAAATGTTTTGTTTCAGATCCGCTGGCGCCATGTGGCGTGGGGCATGGGGCTGCAGTTCCTGCTGGGTCTGGCTATACTGAGGTGGTCGCTTGGGAGGGCGGTGTTCCAGTGTGCCGGAGACAAGGTTTCCGCCTTCTTGGCCTTCACGGACGCTGGCTCCTCCTTCGTCTTCGGTACGCTGGTCTCAAAAGACCATATATTCGCCTTTCAGGTAAAGTCCCACAGGGAAAGTCCAGACGGTCAGTAAAAGGGTCTGTTAGAAGAAAAAAACATATTTTGCAGGTAACTTAAAATATTGTAATAAATATTTTAATTGTTTCATTAGATAATTCACTCCCACTTGAGGTTCCAGTACTGGGTAACCTTAATGTTCCAGTACTGGGTAACCTTAAGGTTCCAGTACTGGGTAACCTTAATGTTCCAGTACTGGGTAACCTTAAGGTTCCAGTACTGGGTAACCTTAATGTTCCAGTACTGGGTAACCTTAAGGTTCCAGTACTGGGTAACCTTAAGGTTCCAGTACTGGGTAACCTTAATGTTCCAGTACTGGGTAACCTTAAGGTTCCAGTGCTGGGTAACCTTAAGGTTCCAGTACTGGGTAACCTTAAGGTTCCAGTACTGGGTAACCTTAAGGTTCCAGTACTGGGTAACCTTAAGGTTCCAGTACTGGGTAACCTTAAGGTTCCAGTACTGGGTAACCTTAAGGTTCCAGTACTGGGTAACCTTAAGGTTCCAGTACTGGGTAACCTTAAGGTTCCAGTACTGGGTAACCTTAAGGTTCCAGTACTGGGTAACCTTAAGGTTCCAGTACTGGGTAACCTTAAGGTTCCAGTACTGGGTAACCTTAAGGTTCCAGTACTGGGTAACCTTAAGGTTCCAGTACTGGGTAACCTTAAGGTTCCAGTACTGGGTAACCTTAAGGTTCCAGTACTGGGTAACCTTAAGGTTCAAGTACTGGGTAACCTTAAGGTTCCAGTACTGGGTAACCTTAAGGTTCCAGTACTGGGTAACCTTAAGGTTCCAGTACTGGGTAACCTTAAGGTTCCAGTACTGGGTAACCCTGAGGTTCCAGTACTGGGTAACTTTAAGGTTCCAGTACTGGGTAACTTTAAGGTTCCAGTACTGGGTAACTTTAAGGTTCCAGTACTGGGTAACCTTAAGGTTCCAGTACTGGGTAACCTTAAGGTTCCAGTACTGGGTAACTTTAAGGTTCCAGTACTGGGTAACCTTAAGGTTCCAGTACTGGGTAACTTTAAGGTTCCAGTACTGGGTAACTTTAAGGTTCCAGTACTGGGTAACCTTAAGGTTCCAGTACTGGGTAACTTTAAGGTTCCAGTACTGGGTAACTTTAAGGTTCCAGTACTGGGTAACTTTAAGGTTCCAGTACTGGGTAACTTTAAGGTTCCAGTACTGGGTAACCCTGAGGTTCCAGTACTGGGTAACCATAAGGTTCCAGTACTGGGTAACTTTAAGGTTCCAGTACTGGGTAACCCTGAGGTTCCAGTACTGGGTAACCATAAGGTTCCAGTACTGGGTAACCCTGAGGTTCCAGTACTGGGTAACCCTGAGGTTCCAGTACTGGGTAACCCTGAGGTTCCAGTACTGGGTAACCCTGAGGTTCCAGTACTGGGTAACCCTGAGGTTCCAGTCGTGCCTCTCAGTCGTCGCGCCCACAGTGCCTGGTGCCTTGAACATGGTGTTTGAAGAGGTGCCAGGCCAGGCTCGGGAGCCGGTGACGCTGTGAGGCAGCTGCAGGCGACCTGGTGTACTCACAGCGGTCCTGTGGCAGCTCACGGCTTGGATAATTTGTCAAAACATGACCACTGTGTCTCCAGGGACTTCTTCCCGTCGGCAGCGCAACCCTACATCTCTCCCTACTCCCTATTTGCCCGGATAATAAGATCCAAGGATGTATGCTCAACACAGAGCGTGTTGAGTGGAGGAAAATATCCAGGCATGCAAACCTCAGCGGAAGGGCTAAGCAGTCATATTCCCATGTATCATCAAGTTAAGATCAAAGGAAATATAGAAACTGCAGAGATCCCATTGGCCTATACGAGACAGCTTCTATCCATATCTTACCCTTTTATCCATTTATTCTTGAGTTATGTCAGTCCTTACTTTTCGTTTTTCTAGACAATGTAAGTTAAGCTGCTTTAAGACCTCTTCATATGAAGGATTTTTAATTCCAGAGATTAACTTTGCCATCCTTCTCTGAACTCGGTGTTTGGTCTTCCTTACAGCAACTAATTTATTTTCCTTCAGGTGCTGTCGGTGATCCTGTTCTTCAGCTTCTGCATCCAGATCCTGTACTACTGGGGCGTGATGCAGTGGGTGGTGCTGAAGCTGGGCTGGCTCCTGCAGGTCACCGTCGGCACCACCGCCTGTGAGAGCGTCAACGCCGCTGCCAACATCTTCTTGGGCCAGGTGCGTCCTGCTTATTGTAATGCTTACTGCTCTTCCAGGTATCCCTGCAACACTCCACAGGAGCAAGAGAAACACCACAACACTCCAGAGGAGCAAGAGAAACACCACAACACTTCAGAGGAGCAAGAGAAACACCACAACACTTCAGAGGAGCAAGAGAAACACCACAACACTCCAGAGGAGCAAGAGAAACACCACAACACTTCAGAGGAGCAAGAGAAACACCACAACACTTCAGAGGAGCAAGAGAAACACCACAACACTTCAGAGGAGCAAGAGAAATATCGAACCAACAAGAGAAGAACAAGAGAAACATCAAAACAACAAGAGAAGCAACTTGTGGAAAAATTGCCGGAATTGATTAAAAAGAACAACTTAGGACTTGTACTGCACTAAATTAAAAATTATTCTGCAAATTAAAACAACTAAAGTCCCTAACTAGAGTTGTAAATCCTCGTTCCTCTTGTCCTAATGCCAGACTGTGGGCTGTAAGGGGCAGGTGGGGTCCCTAAGGGTGAATGGAGAAGTTGACTGAAAATCCACAATCCACCTGCAGACAATTCAACACATCATCTTGTACTGTTAATACAAGGATAAGATTAAATAACTCAGTTCTATAACTGAACACTGGTTCTGTTTAAATTAAGGATCTAAACATGTACATAGTCCAGCCTAGCACTATTATTACAACAGCCAATATTCACATATTAATAAACACAAACCTTGAATATGCAAACTTTTTCGTATAAGGATTTCACAGTTTTTATGTAGGTGAACTAATGTAATGTGTTATACTTAAGCTTGTTACAAATGTGACTGTGTGTTATAAGTGTACCTGTCAGAGTGTCAGTATAAGTGTACCTGTCAGAGTGTCAGTATAAGTGTACCTGTCAGAGTGTCAGTATAAGTGTACCTGTCAGTGTCAGTATAATGTACCTGTGAGAGTGTCAGGAGCCTTCCTCTTGTACTGACGCACGCTGCCACCACCAGACCGAGGCCCCACTGCTGATCAAGCCGTTCATTCGGCTGATGACCAAGTCGGAGCTCCACGCCGTCATGACCGGAGGCTTCGCCACCATCGCCGGCTCTGTCCTCGCTGCTTACATCTCCTTCGGCGTCGACCCCGTCCACCTGCTCTCCGCCTCCGTCATGAGCGCCCCGGCAGCCCTCGCCTTCTCCAAACTCTTCTACCCGGAGACCAAACAGTCCAGGACCGGCGTTAAGGACATCAAGATTGAGAAAGGGTGAGGATACCACATGTAAAGGTAGGGATTTGACCCGGAGGTTAGGATTACATTTATGAGTTAGCTGTCATTGTTTATTGCTATTGAAATCAGGCGCGTCTGAGGGAAGACAATGATGTGATGGGTGACTCAGACACAGGTTTTTACAGAGACGAGGCCAACTGGTTACATGCAGCTATGGTGGGAGTGACCAACGCCATCCCTTTGGTGGCCAATATTGCTGCCAACCTTATCGCCTTCTACGCCTTCATAGCCCTCTGCAGCAGTGTCTTTGACTGGTCCTGTACTCTAGCTGGATCTGAGCCCGGAGTCTGCTCACTCGAGGTAAGTTATCGCCGTCTACTCCTTCATAGCTCTCTGCACGACCATCTTGGATTACTACGCCCTGGCGGGGCGGAGGCCAAGGTCTGCTCTCTTGAATTAATTTCTTAATTAAGAACTGTAAAATACCGTGCCGAGTCTGTGACCTGAATAGTTGCTTGTTATGGCGGGTTCTTACAGTATTGTTTGTAATATATTTCTTCTCTATACTGTTGCTGGTGACCCGAGACATAAGTTTTAATGCTGGAATCCATCTCTCCATAAGAGGATGTGATTGTGTCTCTAAACTTTGAACAAATTTAATGAAGCTATACATGTTTCCTGAACATTCTTACATTAACTGTATGGAAACACTGGCTGCTTGAGGGGACCTGCCATATGGCTCTTGATAACCTTTAACATCTTAGTATGTCACTTGAAGGACAGTACAACATTCGACAGTCAACACATATCTGGGGAGAAAGGAAGGAAGTTTCGGTCCTGTTGGCCATCACAGAAACTCAATTTATACTTACCAGAATGTAGTAAAGAAAGAGTTGACATGTTTTATATATATATATATATATATATATATATATATATATATATATATATATATATATATATATATATATATATATATATATATATAAAATAGGCAAACACAGGTTCGGGATAATAGTGTAGATATATTTAACAAATTGGGAAGTTAGGTCAAATAAGGAAACTTACTATAAAGTATAAGACATCGGTTAGACAAAGACATGAGTGGCTGTGTTCGGATGTGAGGAGCGGGGTTCGCAAAGCCCAGTGCACTTGCGGATTTCTTTATTCTTATGTTGTGTTATGCAGAATTATAACTAAATAAAACTGTTTTCTTGTGTAGAGTCTGTTCGGGTGGATCTTCATGCCGCTGGCGTGGGTAATGGGAGTGGAGTGGTCAGAGTGTGACAAGGTCGGCCAACTCATCGGCATCAAGACCATCGTGAATGAGTTCGTGGCTTACTCCAGACTGGCAGAGATGAAGAAGAGGGAGGAGTTGTCGGTATGGCTTTATTACCGTGTTACTTGTAACAAAGTTAGGGCAGCAGTGGCACACGGGAGACATCTCCCGTCACGCAGGGTGCAGTCGCACCTCCACAGATCTCCAGTATCAGCTCTTGATACTGGTAATGGCTCAAAAGGGCCACCACTTACGGGCTATTCATGCCCGTGCCACCTTTTGGGTGGCTTAATCTTCATCAATCAATCAATCAGCAGTGGCAGTGTCGTGCGTGGTCTGTGGGGATCACGTCCGTGTTCCACTACAAGTATCCCGTCTGGGTTTATATTGTTACCGAGACACACACACGATATGATGTTACATATTCACTAGTGTCACAACACCAGTCATTACTGCCCTTGTAATCTGCATCATGTCAGGCCATTCACTCAAAGAAAAAATATTAAGTAACGATATATTTCGTGCTGATTATACAGCTTCATGAAACCCAATATTGTGTCCATAATGTCCGCAGTTTTATACACAATTTTAGACACAATGTTAGACACTCCTTGATGCTTAACTATGCGGCCATTGTATTAGTCTTGTGTGGCAGTACTTCCTTTACCCTGTGTTCTTACATACATTCTTACACTTTACTCTAAATGTAAATATACCGGTTTTTAGATGTTCTAATTATATTCACTATCACCAGGAGGTCACTGTCACTATCATTATGACCTTGCGCCTTCTTGACAGCTGTTGTTTAGTCTACCTCGGTTCATGACGACCCATTTCTTCAAATATTTACATGCATGTTGTTCTGACCAGACCACACACTAGAAGGTGAAGGGACGACGACGTTTCGGTCCGTCCTGAAACATTCTCAAGTCGATTGTGACTTGAGAATGGTCCAGGACGGACCGAAACGTAGTCGTCCCTTCACATTCTAGTGTGTGGTCTGGTCATTATACTTTAGCCACGTTATTGTGACTCATCGCCTGCACATGCATGTTGTTCCCTCCTTAGTTTAATACAAAATGTTAATTGCCTTAACGTGTGTTGCTTCTCCCATCAGAAACGAGCAGAAATCATCGCGACGTACGCCCTGTGCGGCTTCAGCAACATCAGCGCAATCGGCATCAACCTGGGTGGGTTCGGTGCCATGGCCCCCGAGCGGAAGGCGGACCTGGCCAAGGTGGTGGTGAGAGCCATGATCGCCGGCAGCTGCGCCTGCTTCCTCACTGCCTGTGTTGCTGGTAGGTCTTCCCTCCTTTATGTCTTTGTATACATAGAACAGTAACTGGTGGCTCTCTTGTCTTGGGTCAGGAAGAGGGAAGGAACTGTGCTTGTGTTAGTTGCCTGTAACTACAAATGCCTTCTTCTCCTCTCTAGGTTCTCTGCTGGAAGACATTGGCAGGAGAGACAATATAACCGAGGCAGTCAACGCTACTCAGGTCTTCTGAATACCTTGTTTAAATATATATAGTGTATATATTCCCGGCGTGTCCAGATTAGCTTTGAGGTTCCCTCACTGTGTACTGGTTTGTTCATGTCAGTATTCGTTACAAAAATATGGAAACCGTAATCTTATTCCAACCAGTACATAGTAGGCTATATATATTTATATAATATATATATATATATATATATATATATATATATATATATATATATATATATATATTCATATATATATATTCATATATATATATATATATATATATATATATATATATATATATATATATATATATATATATATATATATATATATATATATATATATATATGTCGTACCTAGTAGCCAGAACTCACTTCTCAGCCTACTATTCAAGGCCCGATTTGCCTAATAAGCCAAGTTTTCCTGAATTAATATATTTACTATAATTTTTTTCTTATGAAATGATAAAGCAACCCTTTTCTCCATGTATGAGGTCAATTTTTTTTATTGGAGTTAAAATTAACGTAGATATATGACCGAACCTAACCAACCCTACCTAACCTAACCTAACCTATATTTATAGGTAAGGTTAGGTTAGGTAGCCAAAAAAAGCTAGGTTAGGTTAGGTTAGGTAGGTTAGGTAGACGAAAAAACATTAATTCATGAAAACTTGGCTTATTAGGCAAATCGGGCCTTGAATAGTAGGCTGAGAAGTGCGTTCTGGCTATTAGGTACGACATATATATATATGTCGTACCTAGTAGCCAGAACGCACTTCTCAGCCTACTATGCAAGGCCTGATTTGCCTAATAAGCCAAGTTTTCTTGAATTAATATATTTTCTCTAATTTTTTTCTTATGAAATGATAAAGCTACCCATTTCATTATGTATGAGGTAAATTTTTTTTTATTGGAGTTAATATTAACGTAGATATATGACCAAACCTAACCAACCCTACCTAACCTAACCTAACCTATCTTTATAGGTTAGGTTCGGTTTTGTAGCAGAAAAAGTTAGGTTAGATTAGGTTAGGTAGGTTAGGTAGTCGAAAAAAACATTAATTCATGAAAACTTGGCTTATTAGGCAAATCGGGCCATGCAAAGTAGGCTGAGAAGTGCGTTCTGGCTACTAGGTACGACATATATATATATATATATATATATATATATATATATATATATATATATATATATATATATATATATATATATATATATATATATATATATATATATATATATATATATATATATATATAGAGAGAGAGAGAGAGAGAGAGAGAGAGAGAGAGAGAGAGAGAGAGAGAGAGAGAGAGAGAGAGAGAGAGAGAGAGAGAGAGAGAGAGAGAGAGAGAAGAGATAAATAGATAGATAGATAGATAGATAGATAGATAGATAGAGCCTACTGGGCTCTTATCATATTTTCATTTGAAACTGTGCATGGAGTTTGCCTCCACCACATCACTGCCTAATACATTCCATTTGTTAACTACACTGACACTGAAAAAAGTTCTTTCTAACATCCCTGTGGCTCATTTGGGTACTCAGCTTCCACCCATGTCCCCTTGTTCGCGTACCACCCGTGTTAAACAGTTTATCTTTGTCTACCCTGTCAATTCCTCTGAGAATTTTGTAGCTAGTAATCATGTCTTCCCTAACTCTTCTGTCTTCCAGTTTCGTGAGGTTCAGTTCCAGTAATTTTTCCTCATAGCTCATTCCCCTCAGCTCTGGGATTAGCCTGGTGGCATACCTCTGAACCTTTTGTAACTTAGTTTTGTGTTTGACTTGATGTAGACGCCATGCTGGAGCCGCATATTCCAGTATTGGCCTGACATATGAGGAATACAAAGGTTCTGAATGATTCCTTACACAAATATCTGAAGGCAATTATAAAGTTCGCCATCCTTGCAAACTCCGCTGATGTTATCCTTTTGACGTGGGCTCCAGGGGACAGGTCTGGTGTGATATCAACCCCCAGATCTTTTTCTCGTCCTGACTCCTGAAGGATTTCCTTTCCCAGCTGGTACCTTATGGTAGACCTCCTGATCCATCCGCCTATCTTCATCACTTTACACTTACTCGAGTTAAACTTTAGTAGTCATTTGCTGGACCATTCCTTCAGTCTATCCAGATCATCCTGTAGCCTCTTGCTGTCCTCCTATGTCTTAATCCTTCTCATAATTTTAGCGTCATCGGAAAACATTGAGAGGAATCAGTCTATACCATCTGGAAGATCATTCACGTATATCAGAAACAGGATATGTCCGAGTACAGAACCCTGTGGGACTCCACTTGTGACTTCACACCAGTCTGAGGTCTCACCCCTCACAGTGACTCTGCTTCATATTGCTTAGGTACTCCCGTATCCACTGGAGCACCCTACCAGGTACTCTTGCCCGTTTCTCCAACTTATGCACCAGCCTCTTATGGGGTATTGTGTCAAAGGTTTTCCGACAGTCCAAGAAAATGCAGTCTGCCCAACCTTCTCTTTCTTGCTTAATCTTTGTCACCTGATCGTAGAATTCTATTACACCTGTGAGGCAAGATTTACTATTCCTGAACCCATGTTGGTGGTGTGTCACGAAGTCCCTTCTCTCCAGATGTGTTACTAGGTTTTTCTCACGATCTTCTCCACAACCTTGCATGGTATACATGTTAAGGACACTGGCCTGTAGGTCATTGCATCTTGCCTGTCACCCTTTTTTGAATACTGGGACTGCATTAGCCGTCTTTCATATTTCTAGTAAGTCTTCCATCTCCAGTGACCTACTATACGCCATGGAGAGTGGCAAGCGTGTGTGTGTGTGTGTGTGTCTATTGTATAGTTTTCATTATATGACTGCAGATGAATGTAAAAATGCCACATACTGTCTATATGTGAATGAACAAATAAATCAATTAATGACTGTATACAAATGAAACAAAATAAGTTAATCAAGTCATTATGTAAATACTAAATATACAGTCATTAATAAAAAGAACCTAACTTAACAAATCAAATTTTATTATAATTTTGCAATACATATAAATATAATATTTAATATTTTAGCAAAATTGTGTTTAATTTCCTGCCCTCCTAAGTGTTAGGATGCGACACAGTTTAATACAGAACATATACGGCACGCATAGACGCAATAAAGCACCTAAATTATTGGGATCGTCTCAAAGCCCTCCAAATGTACTCACTAGAAAGAAGACGAGAGAGATATCAAATAATATACACCTGGAAGATACTGGAGGGCCAAGTACCAAATCTACACAGTAAAATAACAACGTACTGGAGTGAACGACATGGAAGAAAATGTAGAATAGAACCAATGAAGAGCAGAGGTGCCATAGGCACAATCAGAGAACACTGTATAAACATCAGAGGTCCGCGGTTGTTCAACGTCCTCCCAGCAAGCATAAGAAATATTGCCGGAACAACCGTGGACATTTTCAAGAGGAAACTAGATTTATTCCTCCAAGGAGTGCCGGACCAACCGGGCTGTGGTGGGTATGTGGGCCTGCGGGCCGCTCCAAGCAACAGCCTGGTGGACCAAACTCTCACAAGTCGAGCCTGGCCTCGGGCCGGGCTTGGGGAGTAGACGAACTCCCAGAACCCCATCAACCAGGTATCAGGTAATAGTTCGGGTAGTCAGAGGGTAAAGTCAAACTTACTGTTGTAATTGTGTGGTAATAAATAAATGGGTAATGTTAACAATAAAAGCCATTAACAGTTAGTTTGTTAAAGTGTTCAAGATCTTGAGAGGCAGTGACGTTGTGAGGGTGGAGAGCTCTCTCTCATGACACATTCTTCATAAGTGGCGACCTTTCAATATTTTTTTAACTCAAGTCACTTGGATGATACAACTGAAATAGTATAAGAGTTTCTTTCATTCAAAGACATGTACACAGAGATAATTAGCACTAGAAGTGGGGTAAACAAATGTCGAGAAAGTGACCATCAACAATGTACATAAATTTATGATGGTCAGTGACATGTGTTCATATGTGCTAACGTGTCCATATTGTAGCACATTGTTGTGAACTTACCAGTAAGTAGAGCAGTTGTGGAAGGATCCTTGAGTCGACTCAAGCACATAAACTCACACCTTCCTTCTACAATGGACGAGGTTGGATTGTCTGGCTTTGCTCTCCAATGACACAAAGTTGACTGTTGAGTTGCATTATAATATCGTATGATAACTTTACAAGAATAATTCTTAGATGAAAGAGGCTGTTATAGTTGCTTCATACATTCTTCATATGGCTTCGTTTTGTTTTCCTTTTATGTTTAAAATGTAAAGTAAATAACACGTTTTTATTATATTTTTATTTTAAATAAATATAGATTTATGAACGTACTGTAAAAGTATTTTATTGTGTTTTGAATTTAAATACAAAATAACAATTATGTACTTCTTTTAAAACTCCAGTTTTTTTTATTTTAAGTATAAATACAAATATATAATTAATTTACAATTAATTGGTACGTGTCGTATTGCTCTTTTGTTATGTGCTCGCTGCCCCAAACTTGAGAACCCTAGCCAGAGGGCAAGTGGGTACAAGCCACGCCCCTAGCCAGAGGGCAAGTGGGTACAAGCCACGCCCCTAGCCAGAGGGCAAGTGGGTACAAGCCACGCCCCTAGCCAGAGGGCAAGTGGGTACAAGCCACGCCCCTAGCCAGAGGGCAAGTGGGTACAAGCCACGCCCCTAGCCAGAGGGCAAGTGGGTACAAGCCACGCCCCTAGCCAGAGGACAAGTGGGTACAAGCCACGCCCCTAGCCAGAGGGCAAGTGGGTACAAGCCACGCCCCTAGCCAGAGGGCAAGTGGGTACAAGCCACGCCCCTAGCCAGAGGGCAAGTGGGTACAAGCCACGCCCCTAGCCAGAGGGCAAGTGGGTACAAGCCACGCCCCTAGCCAGAGGGGAAGTGGGTACAAGCCACGCCCCTAGCCAGAGGGCAAGTGGGTACAAGCCACGCCCCTAGCCAGAGGGCAAGTGGGTACAAGCCACGCCCCTAGCCAGAGGGCAAGTGGGTACAAGCCACGCCCCTAGCCAGAGGGGAAGTGGGTACAAGCCACGCCCCTAGCCAGAGGGCAAGTGGGTACAAGCCACGCCCCTAGCCAGAGGGCAAGTGGGTACAAGCCACGCCCCTAGCCAGAGGGCAAGTGGGTACAAGCCACGCCTCTAGCCAGAGGGCAAGTGGGTACAAGCCACGCCCCTAGCCAGAGGGGAAGTGGGTACAAGCCACGCCCCTAGCCAGAGGGCAAGTGGGTACAAGCCACGCCCCTAGCCAGAGGGCAAGTGGGTACAAGCCACGCCCCTAGCCAGAGGGCAAGTGGGTACAAGCCACGCCCCTAGCCAGAGGGCAAGTGGGTACAAGCCACGCCCCTAGCCAGAGGGCAAGTGGGTACAAGCCACGCCCCTAGCCAGAGGGCAAGTGGGTACAAGCCACGCCCCTAGCCAGAGGGCAAGTGGGTACAAGCCACGCACCTAGCCAGAGGGGAAATGGGTACAAGCCACGCCCCTAGCCAGAGGGGAAATGGGTACAAGCCACGCCCCTAGCCAGAGGGCAAGTGGGTACAAGCCACGCCCCTAGCCAGAGGGCAAGTGGGTACAAGCCACGCCCCTAGCCAGAGGGCAAGTGGGTACAAGCCACGCCCCTAGCCAGAGGGCAAGTGGGTACAAGCCACGCCCCTAGCCAGAGGGCAAGTGGGTACAAGCCACGCCCCTAGCCAGAGGGCAAGTGGGTACAAGCCACGCCCCTAGCCAGAGGGCAAGTGGGTACAAGCCACGCCCCTAGCCAGAGGGCAAGTGGGTACAAGCCACGCCCCTAGCCAGAGGGCAAGTGGGTACAAGCCACGCCCCTAGCCAGAGGGCAAGTGGGTACAAGCCACGCCCCTAGCCAGAGGGGAAATGGGTACAAGCCACGCCCCTAGCCAGAGGGGAAATGGGTACAAGCCACGCCCCTAGCCAGAGGGGAAATGGGTACAAGTTAGCTGAAGCTACTGATACAATGAACACTTGGCATAAAGCACTTGGCAGTGTCGGTGTAGCAGCAGTAAGTGTACAGCAGTGTAGGTCTACAGTTGTACAGGTGTACGCGGCACTGCTGGAGACCAGCACATCTCAGACCCCGCGGGAGGGCTCATATGTCAAATGGGTATCCCAGTGTAGTGTTATTTCGTCGTTGGAGAGATAAAAGATGTTTCTGTGTTTGCCCGAAGCCTATTGATTATTCTGTTGCTTGATTGTACATAATAGAGCCGCCGCCCGCTGGTTTTAGCTGCTCAAGCCAATCTTATCTCTCTTAATATATCCATTGATAAATCAGAGTACAATAATTTTTTGTGTAATATTTTTTTATCAAGTAGATAGCAAGTAATCTTATCTGTTCTTAGGAATTATCTTTTAAGGGCAGTTAAGAGAATGGGTGACAGTTGTATGACGGAGACACATGAAGGACTACTGACACCATGGTTCACCTCAACCATAGAACACCACCTGGCTCCCCAAGCCACCTCGACGAGGGCCAGTTTAGAGCCGGGGAGGTGAACAACGTCTTCCAGGCCGAGGAGGTGGAGGGGCAGGAACCCCTCCAGACAATAGCTATGCAAGTCTTGACTCAGGTGAGTCTCTCTCTCTCTCTACCTGGCCCCACATTGTTAGGCTGTCCTCTGGTACCTGGATATATCTTAACCTTCTTCCTAGTATTTGCAAACCATGTTGACAGTGTATGGTATAGAGCAGAGTGTAGAGTGTAGAGTGTTATACATCACATGTGTCTGTTAACTGATCACATATTATTGTTAACTGATCACATATGACTTTGTTTACTGATCACACGTATCTTTGTTAACAGAACATTAGTGTCTATTAACTGATCTCACACGTCTTTATTAAGTGATCTCACGCCTCTTTGTTAACGTAACTGTTTGTTATTATTATTATTGTTTGATGACTTAGTGTTGTACTAAGAGGATGTGATGAGCGAAGGTTGTGATGACTTACCATCAACAGGAGCGGGACACTACCACAAGAGCAACCACAACTACCACCAACCTCACCGTGGCCAGGTCCACCGCAGGAGCTGGTGCCGCCCACGACCACCACCACGACCACGAGGACGACGACGAGGAGGAGGAGGACGACGATGACGACTACGGGCTGCTCACACTCCTCCCCAACTACGCCCACATCAAGGCCAAGGCTGACATGGTCTTACAGGTAACCGAGGCGCACTTACTCGATGACTGCCACCTCTTTATCCTGGTGTTGTTACTATGACGGTGGCGCAAGTCCTTATAGGTGACTGCTTTGTTACAGGTCCTTATAGGTGACTGCTTTGTTACAGGTCCTTATAGGTGACTGCTTTGTTATCGGTGACTTCTTTGTTATAGGTAATACAATGTTTTCTTCAGGCTTAACAATATTTGACAATAAATATTTATATTTATAAAAATTATCAATAGATTAATTCAGTAGAGATGAACTGTCGCCGTGCACCAACTGCTGGATAAGGTCACATATTTCACCACTGTGGTAAGGTCAGCCCGCCAGGGTGTTCACACCAGACGATGACTGTTCAATAGTCTTCCTCTACTATGAACAAGCTGGCGGGCTGAACTGTGCAATCTGTCCTCTTACAAATTACGTCTGAATTGGGTTGTTTACCCGTATGGCCGAAAATGGACGTAATTTGAAAATGAAAAAAATTGATAATTAATTTGGGATTTTTTCCAGAACAGTAAATTAATGGTCCTCTGGTTGGTTAGGAGGGCAGGAAGTTCTCCTAAAGTTTCAAAACGTCATGAAAAATGTTACTTGAAAGTTTCCTCTCTTAACCTTACCGAGTAAACCGGAGGACTGTTACAGTCACCACCCATGTTACAAGGGTGGCTTTGTCACCACCCATGTGACAAAGCCACCACCCACGTGACAAAGCCACCACCCATGTGACAAAGCCACCACCCACGTGACAAAGCCACCACCCATGTGACAAAGCCACCACCCACGTGACAAAGCCACCACCCGCGTAACAAAGCCACCACCCGCGTGCCAAAGCCACCACCCACGTGACAAAGCCACCACCCACGTGACAAAGCCACCACCCGCGTGACAAAGCCACCACCCGCGTGACAAAGCCACCACCCACGTGACAAAGCCAGCACCCACGTGACAAAGCCAGCACCCACGTGACAAAGCCACCACCCACGTGACAAAGCCAGCACCCACGTGACAAAGCCACCACCCACGTGACAAAGCCACCACCCATGGGACAAAGCCACCACCCACGTGACAAAGCCACCACCCACGTGACAAAGCCACCACCCACGTGACAGCCACTACCCATGTGACAAAGCCACCACCCATGTGACAAAGCCACCACCCATGTGACAAAGCCACCACCCATGTGACAAAGCCAGCACCCATGTACTCCCATGTTTCAGGGGCATGACACTAAGATGTGGTGGAGAACAGCCGTGTCCGTGGCCCTGGGAGCCGGCTTCCTGGCATACTTCTACGCCGTCCTTGCTATCAAGTCCGATGTGGAGGTAATGTTCACTACGATATATATATATCATTTACCTGATATACATGTTGTTGGGACCCCAGAGATTAGATTAGCTAGTCAGGTATTTTGGTAGGTAACTCTTGTGTCTATAATTGCTTGTTCTTGGGAGGCAATGTTTTAGCATTGGTATCAAGTGATGAATTGATAATACTCAGCGCTAGGCTTCACTCTAACACTCTCTCTATAAACTGTTTTTCGAGGTATTTTAAGGAAATTCTGTTTAATATATAAGAAAGACAGCTTTACGTTTGAACGACGTATTCAGATTAATATTTCTTTAACATTTAGTCTTAAAATAGGAGCCGGATACTAAAGCCTAAAGTTAAAAAATAATAATAAACTTTCATTTTTTTTATTTTACAAACAGGTTAAAATGCTTAGTTATAGATGTTACTGCAGTCATTGTTATGGTATCGTTAGGAGTCATTGTTATGATATCGTTAGGAGTCATTGTTATGGTATCGTTAGGAGTCATTGTTATGGTATCGTTAGGAGTCATTGTTATGGTATCGTTAGGAGTCATTGTTATGATATCGTTAGGAGTCATTGTTATGGTATCGTTAGGAGTCATTGTTATGGTATCGTTAGGAGTCAATGTTATGGTATCGTTAGGAGTCATTGTTATGATATCGTTAGGAGTCATTGTTATGGTATCGTTAGGAGTCATTGTTATGGTATCGTTAGGAGTCATTGTTATGGTATGGTTAGTAGTCATTGTTATGGTATCGTTAGTAGTCATTGTTATGGTTTCGTTAGGAGTCATTGTTATGGTTTCGTTAGGAGTCATTGTTATGGTATGGTTAGTAGTCATTGTTATGGTATGGTAAGGAGTCATTGTTATGGTATGGTTAGTAGTCATTGTTATGGTTTCGTTAGGAGTCATTGTTATGGTATCGTTAGTAGTCATTGTTATGGTATCGTTAGGAGTCATTGTTATGGTATGGTTTGTAGTCATTGTTATGGTATCGTTAGTAGTCATTGTTATGGTTTCGTTAGGAGTCATTGTTATGGTTTCGTTAGGAGTCATTGTTATGGTATGGTTAGTAGTCATTGTTATGGTTTCGTTAGGAGTCATTGTTATGGTATCGTTAGTAGTCATTGTTATGGTATCGTTAGGAGTCATTGTCATGGTATCGTTAGTAGTCATTGTTATGGTATGGTTAGTAGTCATTGTTATGGTATCGTTAGGAGTCATTGTTATGGTATGGTTAGTAGTCATTGTTATGGTATCGTTAGTAGTCATTGTTATGGTATCGTTAGTAGTCATTGTTATGGTATCGTTAGGAGTCATTGTTATGGTTTCGTAAGGAGTCATTGTTATGGTATGGTTAGTAGTCATTGTTATGGTATCGTTAGGAGTCATTGTTATGGTATCGTTAGTAGTCATTGTTATGGTATCGTTAGTAGTCATTGTTATGGTATCGTTAGTAGTCATTGTTATGGTATCGTTAGGAGTCATTGTCATGGTATCGTTAGGAGTCATTGTTATGGTATCGTTAGGAGTCATTGTTATGGTATCGTAAGGAGTCATTGTTATGGTATCATAAGGAGTCATTGTTATGGTATCGTAAGGAGTCATTGTTATGGTATCATAAGGAGTCATTGTTATGGTATCGTAAGGAGTCATTGTTATGGTATCGTAAGGAGTCATTGTTATGGTATCATAAGGAGTCATTGTTATGGTATCGTAAGGAGTCATTGTTATGGTATCGTAAGGAGTCATTGTTATGGTATCATAAGGAGTCATTGTTATGGTATCGTAAGGAGTCATTGTTATGGTATCATAAGGAGTCATTGTTATGGTATCGTAAGGAGTCATTGTTATGGTATCGTAAGGAGTCATTGTTATGGTATCGTAAGGAGTCATTGTTATGGTATCATAAGGAGTCATTGTTATGGTATCGTAAGGAGTCATTGTTATGGTATCGTAAGGAGTCATTGTCATGGTATCATAAGGAGTCATTGTTATGGTATCGTAAGGAGTCATTGTTATGGTATCATAAGGAGTCATTGTTATGGTATCGTAAGGAACAACATACAGTTCTACAGGATTGTTAGAGGAAAACGCTGATTTATAAAACGTGAATTTTGGGTTCATGAATTTACGATTTTAAAAAATCGTGAAGCATGTTTTACCCCAAATTCTATCTCTAAAAACTTGTATATAAAATAATAATATTTTAAAGGCCTATTGTGGGAAAATTTCGTCAAAATCTGATGAAAATTAAAGGTTCGAAGAAGAAAAACAAAATTATGGTATTTTGAAATTTGAATTTTTCCGCCAAAATTTCAAGATTATCAATCCTCGAAAATAATATTTTAATCATATAACTTGTAAATATTTTCTAATTAAGTTTTTTTATCATACAATAAATATACAAGACAATGTACTAGTTGGCAACTCACTATTATTGCAAGATTTCCTTGCAACTATAAAATCAAAATAAAATAATTAAAGAGTTAACCGTTTTCTTTAAATCAAAATTCAAAATTTAGCTTTGAAATGACAATAAAAATAAAAAACAAAAAAATCGAAAAAATTTACTAAAGCCTCCTTCAGATGGCTTTAAGACATCATTGTTTTTCTTATTTCCAGCAGTTATTTATATTAATTTAATAGTTAAGGTATAGCTATCTAACTATAACTTATTTTGGACAATCCTTACGTAATCAAATTAACATTAAAAAACAGTTTTATATTGTATAAACAAGATTTTATAAAATATGAATTTGTTATAGTAATTGGGATGGTTGTTACTCAGCTTATATCCCTACCAGACAAATCACCAATATAATTAATTTTAATGTTGCTTTATAGCTAAAATACCTACTACATCTACGAGTTCATAAGTACGGTAACAGTTTCATAGTCCAAGTGTGACCATGTAAATATGTTTGAGAGGGACATTTAGCGCCCTGTATAGGTCAAGTGCTGGTGTATATGAGGCATAAGTAAGTAGAGGGTCACATGTGTTCCAGAGAGATGGTAACTACTGGTGTGAGGCAGACGGGCTGCTCATCATCATCACCTACTGTGTGGCCATTGGCATGACCTACTTCCTGGTGAGTGGACCCTTCCTCACCTCCCTCATAAATACCTTGCATACATAACTAATCTTTAAAGTGAAAATATGATTCAGTCTTCAAGAAGAGTCACATTCTGCACCGACAGTTGCCCATGTTTACAATATTCCCACAATAATATTATTGCCTTAATGTTCAAACTCCAATTGTATTGGTTAATTTACGATCTATTCTGGCAATAACTGATAATTACAATTTACACGAACAACAATCGATGCATATCTTCTCCGCCAGGTTCTTAAACCCTACTACGGTCGTCCAGTCTATAAGAAGGTGCTCAAGCCTATCCATAAAGCCTATGACAAAGCCTGGGCCCACCGGTAAGGCTAGTTTGACATTTTGTCTTCAACTGTTGCTATGGCACCACTAAGGCACTCATACTCGCTCCAGAGTCTCAGTACACTATACTAACTTGCAAATGACACCAAGAACTGTACATTTTCAGCACTCTACGGATTACTATAACGCAAGTAAAATGTAAAATAGAATTAGTGTTATGTGATAGGTTCACTCTAGAAGTACACAAAATAATATTCCATACAGACATATCCAGGTCAGTACTTTATTGTTCCTAACAATTTTAATTATATATGTTTAGTTAATTTGTTTTGGGACATACATTTTGCTGGTACTGATGTACTGATTTTTGCTGGTACCTTAAGAGCTCTGTGATACGTTGCCTCAAGAAGGGCTTGTGATAGCCTACACCCTAACACCACACTCCTGGTGGTGACCTACTGGCATGACCATCCCCAACACCACACTCCTGGTGTTGACCTACTGGCATGACCATCCCCAACACCACACTCCTGGTGTTGGGGATGGAAGGCCTACTTGAGTTAAGTAATATTGGTGTTGGTGCAGGTGGGTGCGGATTGTGGTGTACCTGGCGCTGGCGGCGGGAGTGATAACCTTCCTGGTGTTGGACACTTTAGACGACTCCCAGCGACTCCAGTCGGCCCTCGGCCTCATAGTGCTGCTGCTCTTCGGCTTCGTCTTCTCCAAAGCTCCAGGCAAGGTGGGAGATAGACATTCAAGCTGACTGACAGACTGCAGACACGCAGGTAGTCAAACAAACAAGTATTCAGGCTGTAGACAAACACAATGTACAGAGTATGTAGCTCCAGCCTGGAGTCCAAACCTAGTTAAACACAAGACAAAGTTAGAGAAGAATCACAGGTATGCCAACAGACTGAACTGAAAGGTATGAATAACGAAGAAAGGCTACGGGAACTAAACCTCACGTCCCTTTAAGATAGAAGAGTTAGGGGAGACATGATCACCACCTACAAAATTCTCAGAGGAATTGGAGAGTGGACAAAGACTAACTATTTAGCATGGGAAGAACATGAACACTTGTGGAAACTGAGTACCCAAATGAGCCACAGAGATGTTAGAAAGAATGTTTTCAGTGTCAGGGTAGTCAACAAATGGAATACATTAGGCAGTGATGTGGTGGAGGCTGACTCAATACACAGTTTTCAAATATGATAGATATGATAGAGCCCAATAGGCTTAGGAATCTGTACACCAGTTTATTGACAATTGAAAGGCGGGAGCAAAGATGCGAAGCAAACATAATTAGGCGAGTACAGAGACACACATATTGTATGCAGGTGATGAGTCACAATAACGTGGCTAAAGTATGTTGACTTGAGAATGGTCCAGGACGGACCGAAACGTCGTCGTCCCTTCACCTTCTAGTGTGTGGTCTGGTCAACACACATATTGTAGTTAAAATTAAAAACAGTTCGCGAGAAGAGGAAGAAATCCTTAATGAAAAATATTGTTTATACAAAAATAGACTGAAAAATACATGAAATTTTATGTTTTCATTTCCAGGAGCAAGAATCAAAGTTATTTCTGATTGGCTGAATACTATAATTTCTAGTAATATGGTTGGGAGCATGATTGGTCTGGCACCCTCCCGAGGTCTCTATGGTGTTGCTACGAATTCCTCAAACATTATATCAACATTTGATGAACTTATGATGCATGTGAAGTTTCGCAGAGATTGAGGCTATCCTCGGAAGTCAATTTTGTCAGAAGGGGTAAATTTGATGTTCGTTGACATTGCTGCAGTAATGGATTATCGTAGGAGCCGTGAATAGCCTTCAAAGCCAGACTTTTATTGGTGATGTACAGGTGAGGTGGCGTCACGTGGTGTGGGGTATGGCACTACAGTTCTTGCTGGGGTTGTTGATCCTGAGGTGGCCGCTGGGTCAGGCCATCTTCCAGTGCGTCGCCGACAAGGTCTCCGCCTTCCTGGCCACCACCAATGCTGGCTCTGAGTTTGTCTTCGGCGACCTGGCCGCGCCCGCGCCCGCCGGCATGAATATCTTTGCATTCTCGGTAAATGGAATAACATGAGTTGGGTAAACTTGCTTCTTGGGGAAATTGGCATAGCAAATTTAATATACCTAAACTTTTGCTTATTGTTGGTTGCTTTGACTGTAATTTCCCACTGATAACGTGTAGCTGGTAAACATTATGTTAGAAATATTGATACAAAACAAATTAAACATTACGTTTATCTAATATTTTATTTATCACTAAACTGTCCCTTACTTTAATTAATACAAATACAAAATAAACTAATGCAAAGTAATTTTTCAGGGTCCAGGTGAATGGAAACTAATGCAAACTAATAGGAAACAAAAATATATATTCTGTCTTAAGGTAAATATGACTTCTTAATTAACACGAAATTTTCTTTGGTGGGGCGATTGTTCAGGTGCTGCCAGTGACGGTGTACTTCAGCTTCTTCGTGCAGATCCTGTACTACCTGGGAGTGATGCAGTGGGTGGTGCTGAAGCTGGGCTGGCTCCTGCAGGTCACCGTCGGCACCACCGCCTGTGAGAGCGTCAACGCTGCAGGAAACATCTTCCTTGGTCAGGTAAGCTCACAAGCAATGCTTTTCTGCCAGGATTGTTGAGGCGACAACCGATTTCTGAGCTCCAACATCACATTAATTCCCAAGAGAGATTAGAAATAAGAGAAAACGAATACACTGTGTGCAGTGACGTGCAGTGAGCACGTGTAAGTATTAGGTTTAGGTCGTGTCAACCTCGCCAGTTTTTCTGTCACACGGAAGACTAGTCGCCAACCTACACACAAACTTGAGTTGCTTAGTGCATATACTCCAAGAAGTAGAGTGCACCTCTCAGTGCATATACCTCCCCCCCCACCCCTATCCTTCCTGTTTCTACTGTCGCTTCAAGAAACACTAATGCAAATTTAATATAGAATATACAATGAACTTGCCTTCAGTACTTCCATAATGCTATTGCATTTCTTCTGTATCCGGGTTGAACCTGGTTTAGAAATAATCTTATACGAGATGCACTGTGTAGTTTTATCTTAAATTATACAAAATTCTTAAATATTGTCTGCCATAAGGCGAGAGTTTTATACGACGTGAGTGTATGTGGGCCAAGTGTTGAGTAACGTGTTGTCCTTGGTACGTGTACCACTAGACTGAAGCTCCGCTCATGATCAAGCCGTTTATGCCGCTAATGACCAAGTCGGAGCTCCACGCCGTCATGACAGGAGGCTTCGCCACCATCGCCGGCTCTGTCCTCGCTGCTTACATCTCCTTCGGCGTCGACCCCCTCCACCTCATCTCCGCCTCCGTCATGAGCGCCCCGGCAGCCCTCGCCTTCGCCAAACTCTTCTACCCGGAGACCAAACAGTCCAGAACTGGTGCTGGAGATATTCATCTAGCGGGAGGGTAGGACTTTACTGTTTTAACATTTTTTATAGTATTATATAGTTGCCAAGAGGTTGCCAACTTCAGGAGATGGTTCAAAACCAGGTCATTTATTTCAGAACGTGAAGACAATATAGGAAGAATGTTAAAGATGGCAGAGCCATGGTTGCTGTGAGCATCACGGACCGTCCGTGTCCACGTGCCCTTCCCTCTCCCCATCGTTTTCACCCGCCAGTATTTATATAAAGTCTTTCGCACATTTAAGGCTCCCACTATCAGTCAGGGTCTGAATACAGAAAATGTGTTATGTGGTGACTGAAGTCATATATTATTTATATACATTTGATTTAATTTTTTTGTAAGGAATATCATTATGTAAGACTACTAGTGGGAGAAGGGGGTATAAGGGAAGGAGGGAGGGGGCCAAGTGTGTCTTACAATATACGAGGGCAGTAATATTAAGGCATGACTTGTTAATGGGGGTAAACTGGCCAGGTGTGTCCGTGGGGCTCACCGCTCATCGTACCACCACCACCACAACACACAATAACTTTAGTGTTGACAGTGATTTTCGTTGTTATGTGCCCGTTAATGATCAGTATTTATCCTCCTCCTCTCTGTTCACCAGTTACAAAATTTCCGTAGCAGCGCACCTCACAAGAATTCCACAAACTCATTAAAAATCTTGTGTGGTACTCCAACACACGAATAGCTGTGGTGCGCAATTCCATGACAGTTACTCACCACAGCTATTGATGTGTTGCGCAGTTTAAGGGTTAATCTGTTCATCCAACCTTGGTGTAGTTTCCCGTACATCAGTGCCAGAGCTTGTTCCTCCCACTATGACCGTCGCGTTGACGCTGGCACCCAAATATGACAAGTGTCGCCCTCTGCTCCACTGAACACACACCAGTTTACTCAAAGTCTGCAGTCCTTTACTCCCCCACTAGAGCCAAGGCAGACTCTACGACGTGCTCTAGCCGGTCGACCACAACCCCAGCGGTTCCTGCTTAGAGTCACACTTGGGGAAATTAGTCCTCATAGGAGGAATCTAAGCCTCCTGTTGCTCCAGCTCCCAGCGTCCGTCCGACCCTTTTATATTTCGACTGCCTTCGTTGGCTGCCTGGTATGACGTCATCGCCATCTCGCTTCTGATTGGTTAAAACAAATAACTTTCAAGTCGATTATAGCGTTAAACACTCACGTCGTATTCCTGTCATAACGACTGTTAATCTACTAATTATGTTTCTTGTCCCATATAGATATTTTGTTGAACACATTTCATTGTTGGTTAAATTCCACTTGTAGAGGAGAAGCCAATGTTCTACACGCCGCCATGGTGGGTGTGACCAACGCCATCCCCATCGTGGCCAACATCGCAGCCAACCTCATCGCCTTTATTGCGGCCATCGAGCTCACCAACCAACTCCTCAACTGGGTCTGTACTCTGGCTGGCGCTGCAGACGGAACTTGCTCTATGGAGGTGAGTACTGCGGGGTGCTCAACTCTCGAGGGGTTACTGGGTGGGGGGTTACTGGGGGCTACTGACCTCTCTGGGTGTGGGTACTGGATGGCACTCTACTCTCTGGGGGATGGGTACTGGGTAGCATTGAACTGTGTGCAGGTGAGTAGTCAAGGGTTTATTGACACAAATATATAATTTCATAATCACATAAATAAAATAAAATCTTATTAATTTCCATAATCAAATTTTGTTTCATGCGCCCATTTGTTATGTGGTTGGTGGTGTGGAGTCTTGAGTAAGGAGAGCAGAGCAGTCCGTCCTCAACAACACAGGCCAATTAAGCGGCCACTTCCCGCTGTTTATGAATAAAAAACGGTTTACCTACTACTCTAACCCGTCCTCGACTCAAGTCCATTACTTCCAGCGGTCGACCCCACAGACGCATTCATCAATTTTAACTTGCTGTTCACTCAAAACGGGAATTTTCTCAAATATAAATGAATACTATAATATATTAGCATATTGTGCATATATAGGCATAGGTTAGGTTAGGTGTTTAGGTTCTGTTGCCGATTATTTGTATTTAATACGTGGGTGAAGCATTTACAGCGTTGTGGTTCAAACAAAATTCGTCAGTGAAGCACTTGTTCCGGAAGTGTTCGAACGTAATCAGTTGTGAGTCGTGTGTAAACCGTTTTACACTCATAAACAAGGATTTGGAGTGTGCACGGAATCTCTTTTGGGGTCTTTGTTTGAAGGACGGGCTGCTCATAACTGACGACATTCGAATATTTACCGATCAGTGCTTTGCCGATGACCTCTGTTCGAATCGCAACTCTGTAAATGCTTCAAACACGTACTTCAAATACAAATAATCGCCAAGAGAACCTAAATACCTAACATAATCTAAGTTACGTCTAACTTTATATATAAATTTATTATAAAATAATATTAACTTATGTATGAGAACAAACCAATTTTTAATACTCAGTGTTATAATTGATGAATGTGTGTGGACGGCCGCCGGTTTAACGAGCCTGGCCTGAGGACGGGTTGCAGGCTGGGCAGGACCAGGAGTCATCAACCATTTACACAACCACTTACGAAGCCTGTTTGTTTTCCAGCCTTGTTTACACTTATTAAGTAGTTTAAGAGTCCCGAAGCACTACGCGAATGTTTATAACAATAATGGCCTTGCCATGTATATAAACTTTGAAGCATATAAACTCTTTAATAAATGTAAACAATCCTGGCCCTGACCATTGATCTTTGTGCTATACATAACTTTCGGGATGTGATTTGTTTTTTATCGTGATTTTTTTCAGATAATTTTCGGGTGGGTGTTCATGCCGCTGGCGTGGGTGATGGGGGTGGCGTGGGCCGAGTGTGACGAGGTCGGCCAACTCATCGGCCTCAAAACTTTCATCAACGAATTCGTGGCCTACGCCAAGCTCTCCGAGATGATGGATCAAGGAATTTTATCTGTGAGTTAAAGATATAATGATAAGACACAAAGCTTGCAGGCACTGCTTGCTTGGATGACATTGTTGAATTTTAGACAGATCAGATTGTCTAGGTGACAGTTAGGTGGAGGTGTATTTAACTAGGTGGGTGTGGTGTATGGTGAGTAGTCTACGTCCAAAGTCCACTACGGGCTCACCATAGCCTGTGCTACTTGGAAGTTTTGTTCGGAGTAGCTGAATGTTAAACCTCTTTACTTGCGACAGGACCGCTCCATCGTGATCGCCACCTACGCTCTCTGTGGCTTCAGTAACCTCAGCTCTATTGGCATCTGCCTTGGAGGGTTCGGTGCCATGGCGCCCACCCGCAAGAAAGACCTGGCCAGGGTGGCAATGAGGGCCATGATTGCAGGCAGCTGTGCATGCTTCCTCACAGCTTGCATGGCTGGTAGGTGCCCCACCAAACCACTGGTAATGATAAAACTTCTTGAACAAATATTCACCAACTATTTTGAACTGCCTCGCAAAATTTGTCATGCTTGAGAAAGTGTGTTGAGAATGTTTTCTCGTCCTAAGGTATGTTGCTGAATGACTCCGCGTCCGACAGACGTCTCTGACACACAAGATAACCCTCGAGCCTCTCCTCCACAAGTCATCAACTCTCCAACAATCACAATTACGATTCAGTTTGTAAATACATATTATAATTTACATAGTAAATTACTAGTGTGCCTGAGGGCCCATGTTCCCAGAAGAGGTTGTCCAAGGCGGGTTGTTGCTGTGATAAGGTTTTTGGGTCGTAGTCCATGTGTTGAACCCGGCCGGTTATTGGACTGTGTTGAGTATCCTCGGAACTGGTCACTGATAGCCAGCTGGTGTTATGGTGTTGGCAGGTCGGTGGTGGTGTTGGTAGGTCAGTGGTGGTGTTAGTAGGTCGGTGGTGGTGTTGGCAGGTCGGTGGTGGTGTTGGCGGGTCGGTGGTGGTGTTGGTAGGTCAGTGGTGGTGTTGGCAGGTCAGTGGTGGTGTTGGCAGGTCAGTGGTGGTGTTGGCAGGTCGGTGGTGGTGTTGGCAGGTCAGTGGTGGTGTTGGTAGGTCGGTGGTGGTGTTGGCAGGTCAGTGGTGGTGTTGGCAGGTCAGTGGTGGTGTAGGCAGGTCAGTGGTGGTGTAGGCAGGTCAGTGGTGGTGTTGGTAGGTCAGTGGTGGTGTTGGCAGGTCAGTGGTGGTGTTGGTAGGTCAGTGGTGGTGTTGGCAGGTCAGTGGTGGTGTTGGCAGGTCAGTGGTGGTGTTGGTAGGTCGGTGGTGGTGTTGGTAGGTCGGTGGTGGTGTTGGCAGGTCAGTGGTGGTGTTGGCAGGTCAGTGGTGGTGTAGGCAGGTCAGTGGTGGTGTAGGCAGGTCAGTGGTGGTGTTGGTAGGTCAGTGGTGGTGTTGGCAGGTCAGTGGTGGTGTTGGTAGGTCAGTGGTGGTGTTGGCAGGTCAGTGGTGGTGTTGGTAGGTCAGTGGTGGTGTTGGTAGGTCAGTGGTGTTTCATATATAAATATATTCCTTGTTCAACATTTTGTCATGCGAATGTTGCTGTAGATAGAACTGTTGTCTTAATAATTTATAATTTTATAACCTCATTAAATCTCCATAGTAAAGAACGTCTTACTGATCATCCTAGTAGTAAATAATAATATATACATTTATGTACAGTAATGTATTGGAGTGATATTGTTACCCTTGCCGCCTCCTTGACGGTGTGCAGCTCCTGCTCTCTCTCACCCGACCATCCGGCCGGCAATAGTGTACAAAATGTTCGTGTTGCTGTACAAAACTATGGAAACTTTGTGTTGTGTTGGGTAGTTAGTGTATTAGTCCCAGCTACCTTAATATAGTGCAGTATGTGCTCTTCCTCTCATAATTCTTGCTACACTTTAAACGTGGCAGCTCACAACAGGCGGCCGGATCAGTATTTTACAAATCAGGCGAAACTGTATTAGGCTTTGAATATGTTTAGTTAGGCCTTGGTCGTTGTTATTGTTTTTTCTAATTTTTTTCCTCCATATTTTCTATTGTCCAAAATGTGGAGTGTTATGTATGTTTATCGTCCATGACTGTACATTGTCTTATCAGCAAGATACCATCGTATCTGGCAATGGTAAATAAAATGTTTCGCAAGAAAGTACTGATGAGTAATGAATGACTTGCTACATTGTTACCATGTGCTTACTAAATAAAAGTTAATATTTGAAATTAGATTTAACGTGATAAAATTTGCGATACATTTTATTACTAGTGCACTATTCCTGGAGCAACCCAGACAAAAACCTAGGCTGTCTTATGGTCTCAACTCTCTCAATTATTACATGGTCTCTTAATTATGGAGTCTTATAATTAACTTGGGCAAACTAATAAACCATTTCAGACCTTTAGATTCACATACACATTAAAATAACTATAAATCACATTACAGTCTCCTTCACTCCCTTATTTCCTGTCAATAAATCTTCACAAACATAAACCTGATATAATTTCACACTAATCCCCGGAGTTATCTATGCAAGTTTCCATAAGTAAGAACTGTAGATGATGTGTTTCATATTCATTTGTAAATTAACAATCTCTACAGTTCCCTGAATAATGTACAAACAATTTATAGTTAGTTACTTCCTCTTAACCAACAGTTACATGCTCATGATGCAAAATGTACAAACGCCATTTCATCTCACAAACGGTATTGTTAAAGGCAGAGTTCGAATGATTGTAAATCTTTTTGCTGCATGATAATTTTAACGTGATGAAGGATGAAGTGAAGTTAAGGCACCTCACTTATAGGTCCATTGTATCTTGTCACTCTCCTGTTTGCAACATGGCTTGTGCAGTATGTTGTATGTTCCGTCGTGTTCTGGAAGTTGGCACAGTGTAATTTGGTGGTAGTTGGCTCTTGACACATGGCTTGCTTGATGTATAATGCCTCGCCCATGTCCAGTCTTGTCGCTGTATCTGTCGACTATTTTGGGGTTTGTGAGGATATCACTGGTGATGATCTGGTTATGTATAGAGACTACATATTCCTAAATAGAGCCTTGCTGCTTGTGTATTGTTAGATGTCTTGAAAAATATGTTGTCTTGCCTATATCTTGAATTTGTTGGGGCTGACAGTTCCCAAGTGGGCATGTGAGTGCCAGGATTGGTCTGACATATGTGGTATACAGTACAAGGTTCTGAATATATATATATATATATATATATATATATATATATATATATATATATATATATATATATATATAGATAGATAGATAGATAGTGTATTACTGTATTATGAATACATTAGTGTATCCTACTGCATTCCCTGAAAATGTGTTGAATCATGAACGTGCTCGGATTATGTTCTATTTCCTGTGGATATACATATAAATAATAGGGTGTGTCTGTGAGGGCACTGTGACCTCACTCTAGACCAAAGGTCAGAATAACACTTATTTAACATGAGTAGCCTCGGCAGCTTCTTGACTGCGAGATTGCACTTTGGATGAATGCTAAAATTGGAAGCATTTGAGAACGAATTCTTGTGTTAAACTTGAAATACGTGCAGGCGTACTTCTCCTGTCAGCTGATATGTATATGAATGAGCAAGGAAACGGGAATAGTGTATATTAATTTTTATCTGAATACATGAAGTTATTCAGATCACTTGTACATAATACTTGCAATGACCCAACACGGTTGAATGTTTCTGTGTCAAAACTTCTTAGCTTATCTTATCTTAACATGTAATAACACCCCCCACAGAGCGGAATTATTGCCTCAGTTTTTACCAATTCGGCTTATGAGAATTTACTGTGTACTGATTTTAGTTTTATGTTTGAATTAAGACCTAACAATCGCGAGAGGGTCATAAAGACCACTGCAATTACTTTTTGACCAACGTGTATGGACATTTTTGTTCTGAACATAGTCAAGAACTAATGTACCTACCTAGTATAGCAAAGTATACAGTTTAATGTATATATTCTTGTTGATGGTAAGTTGCTTTAGATTCAGTTACTCGGAACTAAACTTGTAAGTAGCACTGGCTACGGGGAGCCCGAGGTCGACTCCGCTTTAGTTATGAGAAACTTTTGGAGTGACAATTATATATTTCAAATATAATTATATAAATTTTTCTTGTTACTCTTTTTTTTTTACTAACAAATATTAAAAATGTAATTTTTGTTATTTAATTTTTTAAATTAAAATATTTAGAACATTATTAAACTTTAATAATCAACACGCTTAACTGAGGGATACGATTGGTTACGCAAAGCTAATTCATTCAATATTTTATAATATTTGAATACTGTACAATCAGCAAGTTATATATATATATATATATATATATATATATATATATATATATATATATATATATATATATATATATATATATATATATATATATGCACCGAGACGTGATCTTGACCTATCAAGATCTCTTAAAAAGTGTCTTTAGACGAGAACTCTTTGTTGATTGTAAAGAAAGTCGAAGAATAGAAACCGGAACTAAAGGGAAGACAGCCAGCCAACATGGCGGAGGGAGGAGGCGGCGTTGAGCCTTACTCCAACCTAAAGTCACGATAACTCGAGGAAACTAGTGAAACCAACTACACATAACAGGCACATGGACGGCGAGGCTCTTTTGCTCCCCGAGGAAAATAACGCAGACAGTTACCTACACAGCACACTCCTCAGTGAGGCAATTAAAGTGTAGGGGGGCAGAGGTCCCCCCGGCCAGGGCTCGCCGCCCCAACTCCCACCCATCAAGGTACGGCTAATTTTGTTTTGAACATTTTCAGCATTTCTTTTCCAGACAATTAGGATAGGAGTGTTGTTGACACTAAGAAAACAGCAAGCATCATACACAATGTAAGTCTTAAGATATTTAATAACAAGCGCGTAGATAAAATAAACAAGTGAATTTGATGGCAGCAGTGAATGACAAGCAACACGACCAACCTGCTGACCTTACTGACCTACAGTGTGTACCACTGTACCACTGTGTACCACTGTACCTCCAGGTGACACACACACTCGTGTGGTGAGGGGTGTAGCCTGTGGTGTGGTGCAGCCAGACTTCTTACACAGTTACAAATGTTAATATGATGCCTGAGCTGATTCCTACTGGGCTGGTTCCTGAGCCCAGTAGGTTCAGGAACCTGAACACCTGTTGATTGAGGGTTGAGAGGCGGGACCAAAGAGCCAGAGCTCAACCCCCGCAAGCACAACTAGGTGAGTACACTACTTGTTAATAATCGAGGACGGAGGGAAGCGTGGTTGTTCCTGCAGGTTGTGGTGGGTGGTTGGGTCATTATGCCTTCACTCACGTTATTCTCACTCATTGTCTGTAAATTCACATCAATTCGTGTGTGTGTGTGTGGGGGGGGGGGGGGGTTAGGCTTGTATGGGGCCCTTGGTGCGTGAAGGGGCCGACTAAGACAGGGACACAATACATCATTATATTTTATACTGTGTACAAATGTAACAATTTAGAGATCAATCTATATATATATATATATATATATATATATATATATATATATATATATATATATATATATATATATATATATATATATATATGATAAAAGTATTAACTGTGTAGTGTAAAATCATTAATGCATTACCCTGTAATGTGCAGTATTAAAAATTATTTTAATTATTAACTAACTGACATCCCTCCAATATATAACAATATAGTGTTTGATATAGAAGTTGGAGTACAAGAAGTTTCTCACTAGCGATCATCATAATTACTGTGTGTGGATACCCCGTCAAACCTCATGTCAACAGTCAGGTGTAGTTCGCTTGTAAATGTATATACATTAGAGTTTACATTAGTCCTTTACGGGCTATTCATGCCCGTGTCACCTCTTGAGTGGCTTAGTCTCTTATCAAGCAATTAGTCATAAACTATGCTGACGACTACTATTGGTGGTTTGTCAATAGGCTACTGTGGCGGCCTTAATAACTCTCCCG